AATACCCTCTTTGGAAGCTTCCAAAGACCCATAGTGAGGTGGCTATCTCTAAGAACTCCACGATGAAGGTATAAATATTGTAGTTGTCGTATAATTTTCTTTAAAGGCATAAAGATAGAACAGCCAGGACATACAAGAAATAGGTTGTGATATATGCTTAAAGCCCAAATAGAAATACTTTTGTTAATTCTAGATATCATTTTATTATCTATGTATTATTTGCCTAGGAATTTAAGGAGAAGACAATAAATAGTCTTTTAAGCAATCACCGGCAATGATGGAGAAAAAAAATTATTCTTTTTAATATACATATATAAAGCAGACATTGCCAGTGACACTGTGTATAATATGATGTAATAGTATGCATAGTGTTTTAAAATATATGAGTTTTTTGTTGCAAAACATGTTGCGTGGAAAATAATAAAATATCAATTAAAAAAAAAAAAGAACAGCTCTGACGGAACTATGGCTTGCCCAAGGTCTTCCAGCCAGGTGCAAGCGGAGGGGTGGGGAATCAAACCCGGTTCTCCCAGATTAGAGTCCGCGCATTTAACCACTACCCCAAACTGAATCTCAGCGTGCAAGTGGTTGAGCCCATCATTAGCTTCCGTTAACAGCATTGCTCAAATGTATATGGGGACAAAGTTGGCAACTAGGTCTGCTGCAAGAATCGGTTCCTGGGTCTGTGTCTCTGTTGGGTGGTGTTGGGGAAAGGAGGGGTGCAGGAACCTTTTCGTGCACCCTCATTCCCGCTGTGTTCATTGTGGGGAGGGAGAGAAGCTGGCTTCCCAAGTTCATTAAAAGAGAAAGGCAGTTGTCGTAAACCAAAACTCAGTTTATTCCATTGCACACACTCAAGTCAGGAAACATTTTTGTAGCATTTCGATATTCGGCATAGAATATTTCAACACAGCCCCAGTACATAAATAGCGCACTTGTAATTCTAGAAAGGATATCTTTGGTTGTTCTGCCAAGACTAATAACTGAGTGTAGTTGACCAGAACAACCCCGAGCCAAACTAATTCAGACATTAAGTACCTTCTTTCACCCATTGAAGCTAAGGTAACTGTCGGTCAGGTCTGTGATGAGCATCTGACGTATACCACAAAGTCAGCCCCCTTCTTTCTATCTCCGGGGTCAGGAAAGTCAAGGAAAGCTGGGTTAAGCCAGGGTGACTCACAGAATCAAGGAAGTTACTTTCTGATACTCTCATCTGTTTAGAATTTGGCAGTGACTTCTGACTTCTGCAAAGATAGCAGAGACAAAAGAAATGCTGTGCAAAAAAAAAAGTGCTAATAAGAGACAAGCCCAGTACTGTAAAGTATCTGTATATTCTAATAATCTCTCCCTTATATATAATTGAGTAAGACGCAGCGTAAGACTGAGCGGAGACAAAATGCGCTCCGTCAGCCATTGGCTGGCCAGCTGCTGCTGCCATTGGGTGGGAGGCGGGAGGCAAATGCTGCGTGCGAACGACGTGGCGGCGGCAGCGATATGCCCCTCGCCGTGGCCCGATTTCCCTCCCCCACCCACCCAGTTGGAGCCCGGTGGTGGCGATTCCTTCTCTCCCCCCAACTGACGGGAGAATCTTTTGCAGACCCCCCTTCCTTCCTTCCTTCCTTCCTTCCTTCCTTCCTTCCTTCCTTCCTTCCTTCCTTCCTC